CAGTAGCCGTAGCAGAACAGATGGTGGGGTCATTGCCAGAGGATGTACGATGGTCGGGCCGGTTTGTAATGCGAATACTGAACGCAAAGCCTGATGGCAACGAACCGTAATTGAGACTTTGAACAGGATGACAAGTTCTCGTTAGAATTGTCAAAACGTCGTAGCGGTCGAAGATGGAGTACACATTTCACGTACATTCCAGGCGGAGTGCCTGTATGGCTAAATGACTTATTGAGTCATATGTTGCTTCCTTTTCTGTACTGGTTTACAGCTCATCTCGTAGATATTATCAGTGTAACGTCGATAATGATGAACTGTTGACGTCGCTGATGGCTAGGCTTCCTTGTGAATATCCCTGATGATTGCTTGTATGTCTGAAGACGAACATAAATCATTCCTTCTACCCTGCACTTGAAAGTAAATAGCAACATTAGGAGGAGGAGAGGTCACATTTGCCAGATACTGTGGATGACCTCGAAGAACACCTCCTATCTTTTGGGCACTCTGTCGAAGCAATGTCGCCACTCATGGTGAAATATTCGAAGACGAGTATTGCTTTAAGCATCCTACTAATCGCTCTATCCCTCGAGCAGTGAACTGTCTTCTCTTTTCCTCATGTGCTTACCTCCTGTGAAAGATGGGAAAACTGTCATCTACTGTAATTGTTACACCGGGATGCCCGAAAGGTATCGCCGTATCGTATGATGTATGCGCTTGCGGCTGCAGATCACCTTGACGCGCCTCATAGTTGAATAAGAATCAACACTAGATTTAAACTGTGAATTTAAATTTAAAAAATTATTTAAAAAATTTAGGTGACATCGAACTTGTAAATCGGATAATACTTTACACGATCTGGTCTTTTTGATCACAACTGTCTTGTGCAGCCTGAATATGCAGGTTAGCGTAGACGATTCTCGGCTGATAAGCCGGATGACCACTGCCGGGTGGTCCTGAATGGTGACAGTCTTGTTCGGTCGACGTCGAGGTAAATGGAGTCAATGATCAATCATCATTCGACTGAGAGTACGAGAACCGTTCAATGCCTTCATTTGGGCTACAGTAGAAATCATTGCTTCTTCCGTGTAGGCTGCACTGTGCGACCGCGTCGGTCACAACTGGCGGCGGCGACGTTTTCTGAATCATCTATTAGCTAGTGATTAGGCTTTGGCAACTGATTGCATTACGCCTCATCTGATGCCATGCGACGCCACTCTTACGGGCGAACCAACAGACGTACTGTTGATGCTCGACTCTCCGCCGGACTAGGTTTGACTCAGATCTGTTCGGCTCGGTTATTAACGAACGACGAGTTTCGGGTTCGTTTAGGCTTCGTCGACGTGAGTGTATCTTTTTACGACAACTCGACCAGTTTACTGTAGCCAATGTTTTTCGGCAAACCTTGTCATTTCCAGAAGTCTTTCGAATGTTTGTCATTTGTGCCGTTTACACCTATGCGTTCGATTGATAATGTGGTAGCGATGACCACAGGTAAGGATTTGTGAGCAGGTCTGGTAGACGGCTTCGTATCACCTCTCGCCTCCGTTCGTTCCTTACTGTCACGAACCGGTTTAACTCCCTGGTGACTGCGCTCGGCTGACCGATTCATGTATCTGTTTGCGTTTATAATAGAGAAGCTGATGGATTTCAGGGTTGCACGCATGAGTATGATAGGCAGAACTTTAAGGTGGACACAAAGGTCGGTCAGGTGAATGTGTAATTTGGTCTGTTATGATGAAAAACGGACTCGGCTAAATGTAGCTGCCCGCGTTCTTCATACCTTCCTATGTACGAGAGCACGTTTGTGGTCTTGACCGAAGAATGCAACTGCTGCAATTCGAGATATTCACCATTGTGACCCTCTCTTTCAGTGAAATGAGTATATTGCGGTTGTGATGAAGGCGCCAACGGACGGATTTACAACGCGACGTGTCTTGGCAGATCTACGGGGTTGACTTCTGGCCGTCTATTACTCATGAATACTACCCGGAGATAAAGTTGAGCTGTTCGGCTACTCCGTTTGCATTCACAGCCGACTGAGTGACGTTTCCCGAGTAGACAGAAGTCTCGATTTTGACATGATTGATGCTCATTCCTCAGTTTCACGTCGTGAGTGTCTTACGACGATGCCGCCTTGGTAAATATTTCGAATTCGACCATTATTTTTCGCTAATCTCCTCTTAAGGCTTCGCCACGGTGTAGATTTTCCGCTAACTGCGTTTGGTTCGTTGTCGTTCGCTTCGACTGCCATTTCCTCTGTTCAGTTGATCCCCGACATTCAGTCAACTCCGTGCGTGTTGCGGTGTGGTCCTCGTCACCATCCGAATTCTAAGCCATTGTAGGCCATGTTGTCGCTTGGCGTATGAACGTAAATTCGGACGACTTTACCAGCGAGAATCGGAATCGGCGTCGACCTTTTGATGACGCAATTTTTAAACCTTCGTAGCTGGTCTTGTTCAACCGTGCGTGATGCGCAAACTGCTTTTCCACTTCCTGTTTACACATATGTCTGTTGTGCTCTAGTCGATGAGACCCTAAGGAGGTCCAGACGTTGTCCAAACGTTTCGCTATTGCAGTCGGTTTGCTGTAACTGGTCCAAAGCTGAGCCACACAACAAGCAGTCACTGGCCGATTAACGCCAGGTACGCCTCGTTCGACCAAGCGATTTAGTCTTTCTTTCGTTTTCCGTTACCCACACCTCACTTAACGCACTGTCGAATTCAAACCCAGACGAAGCATGAATCTGAACGCATGCTGTACTGTCACACCTGACGACTTATCGCCGCCATACTTGTTTACTGTTTACTGTTTCGTGTTGTCTGTGAGCAAGCTACTAGAAGCAAACATAAACTGATTTCCGGCTGGATCGAATCGAATCGGATCGTCGGTAGTATAGTCGGAATTACATATCGCTTACGTACTTGAGGTGGTGCAGAACTACGTCTCTCTGCGACGGCTGAGCCGATTATGTGAAATCAGCAAAAACGAATGAAAACGACATGAAGACTTTTGCAAGATTGAAAATGTTCCTAGCTGGCAAACTGTTGTTGTGCCCGAATCGGAAACGAAACGCGTTCGATTAATGTGTGCTTTCAGTGCTGACCGATGGGTGCAAGTGACGTAGTGACCATTAACCTGCAACGCAGCTATTCACAAATGTTTAGAATAGTAAGAAGAGATACGAAGACGAATGAATGGGTAAGAGCACAAACAACAGTCTGCTATGCCGTCGTCCGGATGGCAATCGGGAGGACAAGTTGCAAGCAGAAACGACAGACAAACCGATTTTATACTTTATTTCAAGACACTTTGGCGAGATGTTCAAAATGAGCTGTTCAGAGTTCGCTGCATGAAGGGTGATAAATATGCCAGAAAGCAGAATTTTATGGCGAATGTCGATGGCATATTCATTCAGCAGTTGATCGACAAAAAATGATGATGATCGTGATGACCTGGTGTTTCGGTCGTATTAAAGTCTTTTTATAAATGTCATCCTTAATCACGTGACACGACGGTAGGAAACTAAAATCGTGCTTTTTCGAAGGCATTTGTTTTTCGTTTTTTTTGTCGCATCTGACCGAGGATGGTGTTTTTTTAAATTATATTTACGTTTGTCTCCAACCTGTTGCTTCGCTCTTGCAGGCTATCGCCTCTTCCTAGACATGTGTT